TCCTGGGAAAGTGGCTTTTGTAAATAAGTGAGGTTGATGGCAGATAATGTACTTCAGTGTCAATTTAAAATTTTGTAAGATTCTCCATAAATAGTTTTTGATAGTTTCTCTCTAAATTTAGTGCCATTGAGGGAGAGGGAAAGATCCCCGTCTGATCCCCTTTTACTCACCAGTGTGGTTGTGGGACCTCCTCTAATTCTCTCCTTTTCATGTTGGGCCAAGTAATTTGGGCTGCCACATGAAATCATTCTGGGGTACTATGGAAGCTTGGAGGGAAGAGGAAGCTTCCCATTTGATAACTGAGTCAGCTAAGTTACTGCCTTTGATATCCTCTGTTTGAGAGGTCTCTTTAGGTTGATGGGCCTACATTTTTATAACAGCAATTGCAGAAGGAAGCAGTGAAATCTCCAGGAGGTTTGTCATTAGAGGACATTTTTTAATTTGGTTCCTGGATGAGGTAAGAAACCTTTGATGTTTTTACAGTATCCCAAAAGCATACCTTTTTTTCCTCTTGCTTTGTATTGAGTATTCTTATTTCTCGGAACTCAGAAAGCTGTTATGTGGGAATCTAATTTTTTCTAGTCTTGTGAACCTCCTATTTCTTGTTTCTTTATGGCTTGAATCAGTTCTTTCACTTTCAGATTAGAGGGACCTCCTTTTGCCTGATTATTATATGGACTAAAAGCAAAACAGAGTAGAACTTCCCCATAGGGTTTCCAAGGAGCAGCTGGTGGATTTGAACTGCTGACTTTCTGGTTAACAGCTGAGTTCTTAACCACTGCGCAACCAGGGCTCAAAGTTGGTATAAATCATGGAGTCCAGGATGGTAAGTTTAATAAGAATTCTAAATTCTTCCTCAGTAAATTCTTTAGAGAAAAAAAAGAAGAGAAGTTATGAAAAAAGTTTAGACAGAGCAAGCTGCCACTGAAGGGGCAGAAAGAGAAATGTCACTCACCTGAGGTTGTAATTCTTTATGTAGTTTAGTAAATCTTGAAATTATCTCTTACAGGAAGGAAATTTTACTGTCCTGTTGTCTTTTTTTTTAAATTTTTATTGTACTTCAGGTGAAGGTTTACAGAACAAATAGTTTCTCATTAAACAGTCAGTACACATATTGTTCTATGACATTGGTTAACAACCCCATGACATGTCAACCCTCTCCCTTCTTGAACTTTTTTTGGTGAAAATATACACAGCCAAAGATACACCATTTCAAAAATTTCTACATGCACAGTTCAGTGACATTGATTAC